TACAGAATTAAGCTTTGAATATTCCGCAGAGCGAGAAACTGGGAACCCACCATTCTGTTTACTTATTCAAGTAAAGCGATAAATTACACGGTTGCCGACACTTGCAAGTCGCAGTATGTAACTGATATGAAAATATATACATTTTCTAATTAGTAGCTTATACAATAAGTTAATTTAGGCGAGTTACAAAGCTTCAAATATTTGCTCATAGACGTTAGAAAAAAAATGGTATTAGTTATTAGACGACTTCATATGGTTTATTAAAACACCTATATGAGTAAAAATATATTTAAATTAAAAAAGTTTACGACACTGGCCGGACTTTTTTTATGATAGTGGAAGACCGAAAAACACGAGGATACTTTATTCTCCGCAAGACGCACTGTCGACCCATTTTAGTTTTGGATATTCGGCCTTGGACCGGCATCTATTCTAGATGCTGTAACCAATTACATGTTATTGCACATGCAGGCACTATACAATTTAAAAATTGAAATAAATTGAAAAAATTTACGACTCTGGCAAGACTTGAACCGGCATCGTCAGCGTTCCGTGCTGTTGCTCTACCAATTGAGCTTCCGAGTCCTACACCTCTCAAACTCAAACTAAATATATACGATAATCTAAAACCTTAAAAAAGGACTTTCTTATACGATGTTATTCGTGTCGTTATAAACCATTCAAGCTCCAAGGGATTCTTATTATGAGATATTGTCACTATTATTTTTATATGAAAAGCTCTGGGGCTACAAATCAAGATAACAAGCGGAGATAAAGTAAAGAGAAATGTCTATACTGGAGGTCACAGCCATACAACATTTAGTATTTATTGTAACTATCTGAAAATATTTTGTTGGGTGAAAAATTGCTGTTCGAAGTTTTTGACATAACAATATCCATTATTATTCGATACTAGTATTAAAATAATTTACTAAAATTGGAATGTATTCGCGTATGTTAGCAAGTTAGTACAAAAATAATAGAATTAAAAAAGGGGGAACAATAATTAATATTAAAAATGTATATTTCTCTTACTAGCGGGGAAAGAACATTTCACATTTAATTAAACAATCTATCTATAAGAATTGCAATCAAAAATATATACCCGAGTAGCAGATAAAAAACTGTTATAACGGTATAAAAAAAATGTTTTTAAATTGTATTGTATATTAGTGTTGGTGTACAAAATAAATAAATAAAAACATCCGAAACGTCGGGCCGAAGTTAAAAATCATTTTCAAATAAGTTTAACTAATATATCGCGTTTTAAACCGTTAAAGTGTTTTATTTAAATGTGTACTACTCGCGTAAACTATAGACAGTATACAATTATCATTACATACTCCACATAAACGAAAAAGATCGTGTCGACAAAATGGAAACCAATTATAACCAATACGCTCCTCAACTAATCACTCCGATATCAAATTAACGCTCTACTTAGCTATAAAAATAATTGGGTGACGACAATAGTAGCGTTCATTTGTTTTATAGAATATAGACAAGCGCTTTCATTCATCACTGTTTCGACAGAATGTCAGTCGAAGTGACTCCGAAAGCGCATCGAAGGAAAATTAATTGGGGCAACTTAGCTCATTCTTCAAGCCGTGCCTCGGCCGTGCTGCCTCTTGATTAACTTCGTAAAGCAATTCATTGAAAGAACAAGTTTATTACTCTCCAACAGTGAACGAAGATATACATAGAAGCGGTATAGATCAAAAACTAGCGATAACTGTCATCGTAGCTTACACAGTAATTTTTAGCGTATTATAAGTTGCACTGACAATAAGTTAAACTTTAAATGAAACGGCTTTATACGCGAAATGTAATAGTCAATGTATTGTACGAGGGTGTATGTCAAAATAGGTTGAAAAAATTCGAGGATGACGTGTAGGACGTGATATCTCTATTGGTTAGAACAACAGCACGGAACGCTGTGCATGCCGGTTCAAGTCCTGCCCGCGTCGTAATTTTTTTCTCTTCTTCATCTAAAAGAGATTTTTGTTTAGTTAACTTATTTACAATTTATTTTAACCACGGCCGACTGTTTAGGATAGTTTGTAGTTTTCTCATTTCGTATTTTAAACCGTTAAAAGTGTTTTACTTAAATAGGTCAATCTAATAAGGCTTTCAAAGTCTTTCATTGTACAAAGAAACTAACAAAATGCATATTCGTATATATTTTGTATTAGGAAATCTATTAAATAGCTAAGAAGGTATTTCTTTTATAGCTAGCTAGCTCCCTCTTTTATGATTACACTATTATACAAAACTGATCTTATAATAAAACGATAATTAGTATGCAAAGTATTTTTTCATGAAGTTTTGGATACACAAATGAAAAGTACTGGGGCTAAATAACTAGGTTAAGAACTGGTGTTGTTTGACAATCGAATGAAAAATATGTCTCCATGTATTTCGTTCGCAGCCCTGAAGTTTCCCACGAACGCGAGGTCCGTGAAAATCTGGACGCACAATGGCACCAATTAAAGAAAAGATCGTAAAGATTTGGAAAATTTTACCAATTTTCGTCCGTTCGACGGCACTTACGCTAACTTTACGTTTCGAGAAGTCAAACGATAACTTGCCTGTGTTTTAGGAGCGTCATAAAAATCAAAAGAGTTCCGATCGTTCGCAAGTGTGAGATGGGGTGTACTAATTTTCTCTATTTTATATGGAATTAAAATCATTTTATTAAAATAAAAACAAACTAAAAAAATTACTTGGTTAGAGCATGGAACGCTGTGCTTCAACTCGGTGTCGTAAAAATACTTTATTCTAAAATTAATTCTTAATTTAAATAAAGTTAATTGTAAAACAATAAATAGGTCTTTTAAATTATAGCTTTAGGGAATAGAGACCTCTCTTATTACGTTCACTTGTAGTATAGAGGTGAGGTAGCATTCTTGATCTCATCATATTAAGAAAACCTTTACTTAAAAATATACTAAACGACCAAAATCTTCTTAGCGATAAGACCGTATTCTATTTGTTAGTTAGTACGTGAGATTTTCCTCATTTATATGTTTACTGTGGTCAGTGTTATCTATCTATACTAATATATAAAGCTGAGTTTGTTTGAACGCGCTATACTCAGGAATTACAGGTTCAAATTGAAAAGTTATTTTTGTTGTAGTTAGAGCATTTATCGAGGAAGGACGCTATAACATAGCGATGTGACTAATAGGAGCGAAGAAACAACGGGAACTGTAAAAAAAGAACGGGGAAAATTATTCATCTTAGAAAGTTTCCAATCCGTACGCTGCGAAAACAATTCTAGATACCTAAAAATATGTATGAAGATGATCTTTTAATGTTAACTCGCAAGAACGACGGGACGTGACTGACGTTGCGGGTAACAGCTTAAATATATAAAAGTCTGCAAAAACAAATTTGGATACCCAAAATAACTACTTTACGCGAACGAAGTCGCTGATACAGCTAGTAATAAATAAATGCCTAAAACTTATTCTGACAAATACATAATAATAATTAGCACACATACATACCCACTTGAGATCGAGCCCTCAACAGTCAACAGGAAATCATTAGAGATTGTTGCCACATCATCTAAAAAGAGATAAACGTAACTTATATGTATGGCCACTGCACGGTGTTACCCTATAGCAGAATTTATAATGATTTCGTCGGCGTTGGAACGTCGGGCGTTGAGAAGTTGGCATTATACCTCCCTCGTTAAATTGACGATAGCTGTAAGAGCTGCGATTCAATGAAGCTTTGTTTTACGAGTGCCTCGGCTGCAGCTATTTGTCAAAAGATTCAACTAAACGTTTATCCATTATCTCGACATAAAACGCTCAGGTGTGACGAGAGTGGGGGAGTTATCGCTAACACCACGGCCATCCATAAATTAACATGGATTAAACGTTTAAATAAAACACTTTTAACGGCTTAGAGGTGTAGTATATTAGTTATCTATGTTAATATATAAAGCCGAAGAGATTGTTTGTTTGAACGCGCAATAATTGCAGAAACTACTGCTTCGTATTCTATCTGTGTTAGAGCATTTATTGAGGAAGGTTTTTTTTTATAAAACATCGCGATGTGACTAATAAGAGCAAACAGCTGGAAATGTCAAATAAACGTGTAAAATTATTCACCTCCGTGGGTTTCTGCTATAAAAATTTCAAGACACCCAAATAATATGTATGAGAGAATGACCCCTCTTTAAATGATACCAGTATGTCTATCTTTTAAGATAAGAACCGTTTTGAAGGTCGAATGTGGTCAAAATTAATGAATTTCGACGACGTTCGACCTTCAAAAAATTACAATTTATTTGTTAGAGGTATATCAAGACAATCTGGAATTGGCAGTCGTTAAAATAGTGACACGTCGTATATGTTACGTCATCCACGTTCGCCTCCCCCGCCCGCCCCATCTGTGACATAATTTCTGGATAGGCCTTTATATAAACTAAATGATATCTGATTTTTCAATCGCAATTCACGAAAATACTGTCGCTATAAATGAAACCCGGTATCGGAGAGTCTGAAATCGTATCGGCGTATCGGCGCTCAGTTACGAAATCATTCAAGCCAAGTAGTCGAAACGAGAATTGCTACGGAATGGCAGTAAATATCATACCAAATAGTCTTTTCATAAATCTTCTTATTAGTTTTGATATTTTTATTTATTTAAGAACACAGGAAACAAAGAGAAATCACAGTAACTTATCATAAGGAAGAGAAAGTAAAAAAGTTCAGATATTTCCTTAAATAGCTGCACAGATTAAATTGTTATTAAAGAATTACTTACACAACTACAGCAATAACAGATGTTAAAATGCCATCTTAGGAAGTTTTTTAACTTAAAACTAAGTTTAAAATGAGATAAGTGACTGTTTATAACCACGATCCGTTGAGTCATAGAGTTACATGGTTACCAAAACACCAACGAGCCGAATAAAGACAAGATTCGATTGTTTTCGCATATTTTTAAAAGTTACAGCATAATAAGAACGTCGTGTAAGTTTGAAAATGGAATTAAATAGAATACAGTGTCCTTGTTATTTCGAAAAGGGATTCAACTGGAGAGGTGTGCGCGGAGACAACGCGAACAGTCTCCGCCTCGTTATGCGCCGCTTCAAATCTCCTGATAACAAACCACGGGTTAAGCACGCGTCCCGAATAAACTTTTATTTGCTAGAATATTGGAAAGTACGGAACTGGACTGCGGCAAATCGTTCGTGAAATTATAGTTTTCGAAAAGGTCGCCGAATTTTTATTCGAAATTCGAATTTTGTGACGTATTAGGAACTCGAAGTTTAAAAGTCTGATAACGTACTCGTACGCGAGTTTTTGATTACGTTTAAAACACTAAAGTATTCAGTTAATTCGGTTAAAAACGTGGTTTGTAAATCAACTTCGAGAGACTGGGGCAATGTTTATATGTAGATGAAGCACTTCACTAAGTGTTGTTATAAAATAATCTGTTAAATAACTATATATTACGTTTTCAAGTCCTTGGAAGTTCCCCTCCCACTGAAAATACATTCACTAACATACTATTTACGACAAAATAATTAAAATAAATTTAATTGCTCAAAATGTTGCTTGCTGCAAAATGTTAACAACGAATAATCATCGTAGTCAAAAAAATGACTATGGTACGTTGTATCACATTTCGTAAAGAAATTATCTTACATCTTACAACATTTTCGATTGTAAAGCACCCAAAGAAACTTAATACTATTTCTTTTCTTAGATTACTTTTAAGAACTCCAAATAATTTTCGTAGGCACAAACAACACCTCCTAAGCGGAATGAAACAGCATTAAGTAATTAAATCGTGATTTATTTACAAGAAACAAAGGGAGGCTATTAAAACGAGGATATTAGAAATCAAAGCAAAGTTAAATGGGGCGTACCGCGTAGCGCACCTTCCGTCGACCGGCGCAAACTAAGACCAAACTTGTTACCTGTTATTATTAGGGATGAGTCCTTATCAACTTATGCATGTTCGGTTTATCCAACTCATCCGAATCCGAAAACGCTTGACGTGCTTAACCACCTCAAAGACATAACAAAAGTCAGTAGACTCTCTTGCTACGACGCCACCATAGGCTGCAAACCGCCTTCAATAGTGAAGACTTGGCTCCTTGTTCCACCTGGGTATGCATACCTTCAGCTCTTAATACTTCCACCCATAGCTGTGGTGAAAGCCAAGGCCGAAGCCAGGCACTCGGGATACGCTTGGTCTAACCGCTAGTACAGCTAAATTAAAAGTCCGATTAGTATCAGAGGCGAATGTGCTGAATGATCACTAGTTAATTTGTTAGTGCTTATAAGATTATTATAATAAATTGATTAATTTTTATACATAGATTTGAAAATGTTGTTAATATATTTACGAAAGAAATTGATTAAAGTTCAAAAACCATTAATTAAATTAGCAATAGTTACAAAATCACTGTTTTAAACATTTAGCCGAACTTTTAATTTGAACGAAGAGTTCGATTTCGGTTTCGGCCACCTTCGGCCCATCTCTAAGTTATTATACAATTTCTCTACGATTATTTTAGCTTGAAAACTTTGCTACTATATGTAATGAATATGAGCTCAGGTAGAAACTATTCAACTTAGATATCTAATTAGAGTAATACACTCATTTTGTCAAAGTTAATTTTCATTATGCTGACGGTTGATACCTCGAGGTAAGTAGATCTTGATAACAATAATAACGTAGATGTACTACTTACACTTACTTTAAACTTTTTTTTATTATAAACGACTGCAGGCGAGCATGGGGGACTCACTTGATGGTAGGTGAATTGTCCCAGCTGTAGGTAAACTAGATACGTAATATCCCTACCACCCGTTTTAGTATCCGGCATGGATTAGAAACATCTTGATAACGGTGGGAATCGAACCAACGACCCATTGATTATTGTGTGTGTGAAATCCCGCTTTCCCCCGTGGGGCATGGGGCGAACACATTTTTCTGTCCGTTTCACTTATCGGTTCTATAATAGGCAAGTAACTGATTAGACTTCTGTGCCCTGCCCGGACGAAACAATTTATTGTTTCCTCGGGATTCGAACACAGGAACTGTCGCGCTTAACGCAGTGCTAGGCAATACGTTTAACCATTAGGCGGTCGCATTGATTATTAGCCATACATTATTGTCATGACCAACGATCCTGTCAAACTGCGCTATATTTCTGATTGTCAGTAAAAGTTGAACAGTATTGTAGGTATATATATAGTTTATTTCCAACCACGACCCGACGTTGTGGATCTTCGTGACCACAACGGCTGTTGAACAGCAATTTACTGCTTACAACTTTTCATTCTGTCCTATGAATTCAGCTCAGCATTTGCTTCAAAGCTTTTAATGATTTTACCAAACTAAAATTGACTTTTCTTCAAAACCCCTGTTACCAACATAATGAGACGGTCTTCCTGAAATTTCAATCGAAGATTATAGTTTCTAGACGAGTACATTCAAAGAGAGGATTCCTAAAATAAAACATTTTTAACGGTTTAAAACACGATATGCTAACTTATTTTTAATGATCCGACATTTTGGTTAGTTTGCAGTAATCGTTACCATTCTTATGTTTGTTAGTTTAGTATTTTGTTTAGTATTAGTTAACATTAGTATTATAGTCAAGTAGCAATGAGTTTCTGCGTAATATATGTAATAATTAATTTTCTAAATTGGCTTAACGGTTTAAAACGCGATATATATTAGTTAAACTTATTTAAAACATTTACAACGGCCCCTCGTTCTCGAGGAGACCGTGACCACGCTGCTGCAAAGCATCCAAGACTTCGGGCCGTAGTTAAAATAATTTATAAGTAAGTTTTACTAATATATACCGTGTTTTGAACCGTTAAAGTGTTGCATTTAAATGTTACGACTCGCGTAAACTACAGACGGTATATAATATATTTTCTGTGTGCATGTATGTTGTATGGAAACCAAATAAATAAATGATGGTCACAGGTGGCTGTTTAAATGTTAATTAAAAATGATTTCACATTTGAAACGGTTAAAATTATTTTATTTATATGTTTACTACTGGCATAAATTACATACAATACCTAATTAACCAGTACTAAAGTAACTTCTCCATTTAATCTATTCTAAATGAGAACAAAAATAAATACTTCGCTTTTATCAAACACTCGCAGACTATATTATCTGAAAGGTCTATTTATGAATGACTATTTAATGTTTGCTAAACCAGTCAACCACTCGCAACGCAAACATTTAGCCAACATATATCCAATTTACTTGTTTCACTTCATGCTATATTTCAGTTCTATTATCAATACAGATCATTCTAAAACAGCTAAATACATTTCTACAATTGCATAGTCTCTCGATTGTAATGCCGATGTTTTTTTGTGTTAAGAGAAGATGAAAAAGTAAAGGTAGAGAAAATTAAATATCACTGAAAAAAATACGCGGATAGAATTTTAACTAGTCACGGCGTTCCGCACTGTTAGCGCACTTACGAATTGAGCTACAGTGTCCTCACGTCATCGTCGAATTATTTCAACGTATTGATATTTTTTAATAAAAACTTTTAACGGTTAAAAACACGATGTATATTTAGTAATTGTTGTAACTACGGCTGATGTTTGCTTTGCAGACCAGTTCCCCCGTAAAAATAGTTTAACTAATATATATCGTGTTTAAACCGGGAAATGTTTTTTTTTTAAAATCACCCCCGTAAACTAGAGAAACACTATTCTATTGATATAATGCCATCATGTGTCATCAATAACACGTAAAAAATATAAATGTCTTCTACATGTAAATATTACTCGTCTGTTTCAAATATTTTATAACCATTAACTTGTTATCATAATCGACACCTGTTCAATCCAATAAAGCTTTTCAAACTCTTTGTTACAGCGCTTCATAGTATTAAAATGAAAAATTCTGCGTCAAAGCAAAATGTCATGAAGTTTATAATATACTGCAAGTCCAGGGTAGACCACGCTATTATTCAAGAGTACGTTGCCGTCTCAATGATAACACGTTAGCCTGCGGTCTCCTATAAATGCTAGAGATCGCAGCTTTACCATTATACTAATTCCAATTATAACACAGTAAATGGGGGGGAATGGGGTATTGGGCAAACACATTTCTGAGTCCGTATCACTGATCGGTTCTTTTAGATGCAAATAGATCAAACTTCTGGGCACTGCCCGACCTGTTCTCAAACCCAGGACCTATCGCGCTTAATGCAAGGCCTGGCAACACGTTTGACCATTGGGCTACAGAGGCCACAATTATAATAATTGTGTTATAGGCTAAAATAACACTGATAACGTATAGTAAATTAGCGAGGGAGAATTATAGCAGCTACTGCCTTGTAGGCGTTAGTGGAGTTAATTGCAGACTATCAGGACCTGTGTCGGCTAAATTTCAACGATATATGGTATTTTAATTTTCTAAGACTAATGAACGAGTAATTATATAGGTATTCCGAAGTAGGAGGTGTCAATACCCCCTTGGAGATATTTTTTATTGATTATTTCTCATTATTATGGAAGCATTTTATTACGAACACTAAACCAAAAAAAATACTTAAATAAAATCATCATTTAATTGTATGTTTTGCGCTAACGCCGTGTTTGCTGCTAGACCAATAATGCCCCGAGATTATTCTGAACTTGGACCTTCACTTGACCATAGCTATAGTTTTTAAAGCCCACCAGTTCTGAACGAATAAGTTATTCAGTATGCATATACGTAGCGTTTATAGGAAACCATAGCCTTACGTACAAATCATTGCACAAGCTCCCTGCAGGTTTCACAGCTCCACAAGCCCTTGATATTGTATATTTCATTAGGTTATTAATAATTACAATCATAGAGAATGCATTTGTTCGTGATTTGTTGATTATCGCGGTTAACCTTTACCCTTGACATTGGGTAATTCCAAGTGGATGTTGTACTCTTATAACTTACAGCATAGCTTAAATGTAACACTTTTAACGGTTTAAAAGGCGAAATATATTCGTATTTTGAATTTATATTAACTACGGACCGTCGTCTTTTATCTCCCCGTGATCACGGCTGTTGTAAATGATTTGTCTAAAATACTTCGCATTATAACCGTTAGAAGTGTTTTATTTAAATATTCATTCTACATATATACTGATATTGCTCTAAGCTGAAGAACTTCCATCGTTTCTCT